TATGCGGCTTATTTGTTTTAACTTTTACGCGCAACGAAAAAATGTTTGCCGTTTTACGGTTGACAGTTAACCCTTTTGAGACCGTCTGGACTGGTCTCTATTGCAAATGCCATCAGTCTTTAACAATATTCTGCTCTGGACCAATAGGAAACGAAGCAGTTGTATTTTCAGTTCCATTTTCCGTGATTATCAGCGTATCATGTTCCCTGTACCCGCCCGCTCCGGGTTGTCCTTCGGGAACCACTATCATGGGTTCCATGGTGATGACCATGCCTGGTTCTAAAACAGTGTCCACGTGTTCCAGGAACTCTAGACCCCAGTCCCTCCCGTAGTAATGAGTAAGAACACCCGTGGAATGACCATAACCAATGACACGGTACTGCAGAATGTCGTGTTCCATGTAGATCTCGTTTAGCTCTCTTGCAACATCGCTACAGCGCATGCCTGGTTTGACTATCTCTAGTCCCTTTTTATGGACCTTATTGTTGACTTCCCATAGTTCCATGTGACGATCCGAAGGCACGTGATGGTAGAATAGAGTGCGCTCTAAAGCGGAGTAGTTTCTGTTTGAAACGAAGGAAAAATACCAGTCAACGCGGGAAGCAGGTGTTCTTCCTTGATTTGACGAACAGAAAATTTGCATGAATCCAAGAATGAAAACTTGCAACAATTTCAAGCGCTCGGTTACACATAATTAAGCACGGAAGAACATGGTAGCGTTTTAAGAAGGGAAATGCATGTGCAACGATTGCCAAGAACGAGAAAACATGCGACGTGTTCAAACAGGAAAAGTTCCATTAGCGGATACACAGTGTTCCCTAGGTCAAGCAGCACTCTTGTGTAGCCAAAGAAAACAGCCAACATTTCGCGACGCCGGGAAACCACTAACCTCCCCGCAGACGTCCTTTGGGGTTCGTTTGTCACGCATTCATTTCTCTCGGGGAGAAATGAATGCGTGACAAACGAACCCCAAAGGACGTCTGCGGGGAGGCTAGGAAACCACCGGGGCGTCGTTTTCAGCTAGCCCTGACCTTACTAAACAAAATATAACGAGTTTTAAACATTCTCATCTGGCGAGGTGTTTAACAAATAATCATACTAACCCTGCTATCATAGGAAAGCAATTAAGACTGAGAATATCTCCTTTTTGCACTTGGCGAGTTGCTGGAAAGTTATGGGCTCCATCTGTGTTTACACTCGACTGAAACCAACTCCAAACTTAAAAAAAAAGCGCAAACAGACAATAAATCTCGTGTCAAGTTATAGGTCTAGTTCCTTATTCATAAAAACGGCTCTCAATACTATTTAGCCAGAAAGACTATTTACCTTTCAAGGTCCCGGATAAACAACTTCAAAACAACCAATCTCGTACTCAGATCTCACTCTGTTTTCAACTTAAACGAAACTTAATACACGCCATACTTGCTGTAAAATCAGCTTAAACGCCCAAAACAAACTGCTTACCACCTAAATCAGACGTAAGGTATTGATTCTACCCGATTTAGATCGAGTCGAAGCACTATTGGCCAGTGACTGGCAGTTTTTTCCTTGCTCTTCCCAGCCCCCTCCTCTTTACCATCAATTGAAATTTATTTTTGCCTGTAGGTTGACATTCTGATAATTACGGCAAACTCTACACACTAACGATAATTTACAGTAAGAGTAATATTGGAAAGTTTCGTGTCAACCGAAGCAAAAGACGAGGACTTAGATAGGAAAACTACAGTAGTTGTTACAAGCCCCGCAGAGCTCCATGTTAAGCCAAAGCGCAAAACACTAAGTAAAGGGGTGGCGAATTTTGAAATTAAAGACTAAGTTCGAAATATTCTCAATTCCACATACACACCCTAGAGTGTTGGGGTGTGGATGGAAATACTTGTCACGTGACTTTTTGAAACGCAAACCCCAGCCCAAGGCCACTCCTAACTTTAACTGTTAACTAATAACTCACTTGGAGGTCAAAGCATCAATACTTATTTTGTAATCCCAAGAAAACCCCTTGGTTAGGGACGGACCATTAGAAAATTTATGTTGTGGGGCGGGCGAAGTACAAAAAAAATATTCGCACAAGGGAAAATTAAATGAAAAAAAAATTTCAAGCACGCCAATTAACCCTAAACAATATTCATGCTATGGCCTAAAAATATTCATACAAGGAATTTGATAACGAAAAAAAAATTTCTGCGGCTCAAAAATTCCCCATCCCCCCCCCTCCATAACTTTTCTAATGGTCCTTCCCTTAGAGTCTAGCTGGACCTTACATTTTCTGGGAGTGTCAAATATCTTGGTCACGTGAAGCATATCGTTCCCATAACGTCATCACCATCATCATCATCGTCGTCGTCGTCGTTGTATCGTCAGGGAGCTTAAGCAACGACGGCGTCGACGGAGGCGAAAACGTCGCTAAAATGTACTGTTTCAAATTTTGTCGCTCCTATCACATTTCGTTCAGTTTGTCAAATGGTGGTGAATTTTTCCGGATTTGAGTCTAAAGGACTGTATCTAAGGTTAAAAAGAAAAGTATAAGACATTCGTTTCCTTGTGTTCACGTCCTCAACGAATTAGGCAGTTTCATTTCATTTTTCGTCGTGGTAGTGCGGTAATAGAAATGTACAAAAATGCGTGATGCACGTACAGAGCTTAGTTCTGCTAATCGAAACCTATTGCTTTTTGGCTGTCGTTGTCGTTGTCGTAGTCGTTGATGGTGCTTAAACTCCCTATTATTACACTTTTTGCCTGTGACAGGGGTGAGGGAACCCCTCACCTGGGAAATAAGAAATAATGGTGTAAAACTAATAAACAACTCACCATCCCTGATATCATTGTGCGGATATGCCTTAGCTATTTCGCGTACCATGGTGTTGGTTGCAGAAAGAGTGACCTCATACTCTGGCACACCCTCATGAATCGTGTTTATCGCAGCGTATGCCCCAAGTTCAGCTATCCGAGATCCCTNTCGTTCAGTTTGTCAAATGGTGGTGAATTTTTCCGGATTTGAGTCTAAAGGACTGTATCTAAGGTTAAAAAGAAAAGTATAAGACATTCGTTTCCTTGTGTTCACGTCCTCAACGAATTAGGCAGTTTCATTTCATTTTTCGTCGTGGTAGTGCGGTAATAGAAATGTACAAAAATGCGTGATGCACGTACAGAGCTTAGTTCTGCTAATCGAAACCTATTGCTTTTTGGCTGTCGTTGTCGTTGTCGTAGTCGTTGATGGTGCTTAAACTCCCTATTATTACACTTTTTGCCTGTGACAGGGGTGAGGGAACCCCTCACCTGGGAAATAAGAAATAATGGTGTAAAACTAATAAACAACTCACCATCCCTGATATCATTGTGCGGATATGCCTTAGCTATTTCGCGTACCATGGTGTTGGTTGCAGAAAGAGTGACCTCATACTCTGGCACACCCTCATGAATCGTGTTTATCGCAGCGTATGCCCCAAGTTCAGCTATCCGAGATCCCTGGCGGATTATTTCAATTTCCTCCGGGGATTTAATACGACGTATATGCATCGCTGCATCCGCGACGTCGACTAGCTTGGCTTGTGGTAGAGCATCAGAGAAGTCTTTGAGGAATGCTCCTGCATCGGGGAACTCTAAACCAACGGTTTTTGCAGATTTAAGCTGGGGATTTAAACATTTCATTCATCAAAGACGATAGCGTCTAGGAATGGAGCAGCTTAAGACAGACCTATAAAGGGCTTCGTTTCTGATCTAGACTGCGAACAGTCCGCCTTTTTAAGATCCGTCGAGTTCTCAGACAGGGTGCGTTTGGCACTGAAAAAGCTTCAAGCCAAAAACGCACGCTCGACGATCTCTAGAGAGGAAATGGGGGTCTGTGTACAGAGAGAAGCGTACCTCTTACATGGAGGCAAAACCGTGTCACCAGACCGTCTGAACAGAAGGAATGAACATTGAACTGTTTCTATTTCTATTTTTATTGTATAATCATTTACCTGTATTTTATTCTATCCAGTATTTATACTTGTAGTTAATTGTTAACCACTTATGCGAATTTTCAATTCAAATTTTAAGAGCCGTTAAAAGATACGTTCTCTTGGTCTCTTGGGCTCTGGCCCTGAGGAAGGCTAATTTTGTTAGCCGAAATATTGGCCTATAATAAATCAGCCCTTTGTCGTAGTGCCAGCCCTGTATTGAGTTCTGTGTGCAGCTAGGCTATTATTTTGATACAACGTACCTCCTTTCTGCTTTCGCGTGTAAATTATGTTTTTATAGTAACTAGTATTTTTTCAGTATAATTTCCATAAAAGTAGCTGGGAGGATTTACTAATTTAAGGTCATGTCACCTCCATGCAGCCTCACTCATAAAAAACTAAAATTCTACTCCATCTCTAAAAATGAAACAAAGTACTCTGAATTCATTAATCATATCAGGAATCTTGAACATAAACGTATAGCCTCCAAATTTAGGATAGGAAATCATAGCTCCCTTACTTAGAAATCGAAACTGGAAGATTTACTATTCCCAAAACTCCTAAACAAGACTTGCCATTCCTTTCTATATGACCCCTTATTTCTCTGTATTTTATCCCTATTTACCTGTTGTTGAACTGCGTGGTAGAAATTATCTTTTTGCCAGTTAGTATAGCTGATGTTATCCCCGCTTGTTCGTCGCCATGGATATCCATAGTCGACGGCTGTAAAGCACAAAAGACCAGCCAATCATTAATTATTAATTTGACGTTATTATTAATTCAAACTATTTCTCCGTTTCTGATTGGCTTAAATCCCCCGACTAATTCTTCATAACAACGTTTGCAATATCTGGTAAAGTGACGTCAATAGTACATGCTATCACCAAAGAAAGGGACGGCAACCAAAACCGATACCTTGAGGACGAGGTTGTGTTAGCTCAACTGTCTGATAAATCCCTCCTTGATCTGCATACTTCTCAGGTCATACTGTGCCTTACTTTATATTTTCTGAATATCCAACACACCGACTTATTAGATCTTATTAGTAAGCTTTCCAGAGTGACTAACTGATGGGCGGACAGACGGATGGATGGATGGATGGGTAAAAAAAGAGAAAAGAGGGAAAACGAAATACACGAATCTTCTCTTCTAATCATCCCTCAATGGGTACGTACTTACATGGAGTAATGGTGATGGTCGTTTCGTCAGTAACGATTAAACAGTATTGCCTTCCCATCGAACAATAAAGGAAATCGCTAAAATAGTACACGTTGTAGTATGATGTAAACACGCATGCGTCAATGCCTTCCTGTTCCATGTGACTGCGGATTCTGTTCAGTCGCCGATCCATTTCATTGGATGAAAATAGTTGCTTACACTGAGGAAAACAACACAAACAACAACTAAGTTGAAGAATAAAATGTAGATTGGTAACGTACAGATGTACAAACAGTGGGGTTGTTTCCTTCATCACAAAATTTCCTTGACAAACTATAAGGTGGTCCTATGTCGACTGCAATATATGGTTATCTTTGTTGAAAATCAACATATTGAATGAAGGGCATAAATATATTGTAAATGTTAGGGTCTGATCTTTAGTTTAAAAACTAAATGCAAGGCTGATCTTTTCTATTTTCGTCATCAACATTCGTCTCCAGGAACTTCGCCGTATTGGAAACTGAGACGACCTTAGGGGCGAGCCTAGGGTCGAGGTTGCAATTTGGTTACAGGTTACCCCTGGCAACGCTATTGAACATTCTCGGTATTAAATTTAAAGGGGGTGTGTCACGGCAGTCCAGTTCATTTTGTTTAATTTTGCCAATTACTCGCCCCCAATCGCTATGGAACTTAAAGTAAGCAAAGAAATTACATGTAACTGACAAAATCAGAGATCCAAGACAAACAAATATGTCTCCTGAGCATTATTTTTGAAGTTGCAAGCAGCAGGGATCAACTTTGAAAAACTGTTAGGCTGAACAGTTTTCAAAAACCCTAATTTCAATCCGTTTCAATGCTCTTCCGTTTTGCCCATCCGTGGCATCTGTTGTGTCTGTTATGTTATTTTAACCTTTCTTTAAACTTTTAAGCGGTTATTTTTATGTTTCTCTTAATTTAGCTTGCATTTTGTAATTTCCTAATTTGGCTGAATTTCGTGACACAGCTCCTTTAAGATGTAACATTTTAAAATGAAAGATCCAGGATAAAGTATAGCTGAAATCTATTCTCCGTGTACGTCATGCAAGGTCCTAGGACCTTCTGAGATTAAGAGTACTGATTTATGTTCCTTACCTTCTTGCCATTGTGTAGTTTCAGTGTACGTGGAAAGTAGTCATGTTTTTTTCGCAGAAACACCGGCATAACTACCTTACCGAGTTTGTGGAAAAGTGACGATTGCGCAAGCATTGTCTTCGTAATCTGTAATGTTCCGAAACGGAGATATAGGAAAAAACACAACACAGAAAATAAACAAGTGAAAGGAAGAAAGTTTAAATACACCACAGCAGATGCGATACCCTTTAGGCGCAGATCTATAGGATAAATACTGGCCGATTTCCTAAACGAGCGTCAAAGGGACCGGGGGCTTGCTTGCTTCCCCGGGAAATTTTTTTTGGATTTAAATTTCCTGGGTTTACTGAGACATTCAGACAGGATGTTGGACAGTTCCACTCTGGCCTCGGATGAAGCCTTACAAATCCGCGATTATTATTATTATTTCTTATGCCCGGAAATTGGAAAACATATTATCCAACCATTTTCCAGAAAAAAAAATATTGAAAATCTGACCGATTTCCGTAAAATCGTGGAAACCGGAGTGGATCCGCGCCTGCCGTTTTTGGAGGTTTGAGTTTCTCACAACAGCGCGCGTTCCCATCTCCCGTATCCAGAGTCTCAACAATTCTATTCCTCCCTTTACAGACTAGAAGTTTAGTTATGCAAATCGTGCACCCTATTTTGTTTTCCTGCAATAATTATTAAAGTGTAAATATCCGTATTGTTATTCTTTGGTAGAAATGAAGATTAAAATACGTGCTAAATACAACGCTGTTTCCCAAGATCATCGTATAAACTTCGCTTAGCTGTCGAAGTATCCCGTTGAAGATTCTCGGCCAACAAGACGTAACAAGGATGTTCAGGCAGGGTCGCTACAGCTGTCGCTCGAGAGACCTTGTGTTAGAGCTTGAAAACTGGTTACGAAACGACCAGTTTCTTCATCTGATCTAGTGTGCTAACAGCGCTCATAAGCAGCTGGTGAAAAACCCAATATTTTTTATTTTTTAACAGGCTCAAGTTTGACTTGTCAACCCAAAGGAAGTTCACCAGAAAATAAGACTTGTGTACAAGTGATGAATTTTCAAAATCTCACCTTCGAAAACGGAGAACGCTTGCGGAATGGAGTATCGTCGACGAAGGACTTAATCAGTAAAAGAAAGTTCGTTTAGGGCTCGTCAAGCCCCCCCGAAATACCGTCTGTAAGGATGTTACCGTACGTATCGATAGCCTCCGGCCTGAGCCGTTCTTTCCCTCGTCACGTAACGCTACGCCTGAGCCGTTCTTTGTCTCGTCAAGTAACGCTACTCTCTGCGTGACACGCAAGACAAGGAAGACTTCGTCAAAAAACAACTCTGTTCTGTAGGCTACATATATAAAAGAGGCCCAAAAGAGCGAGGGTAACTCTAGCGTACGTCCTGCAGACTCGTCTACATGGGACAACTTTGCTCCGGACTAGTAGTCAATTGAAAATTTGAAAGGAGCTTTATTAGCGATTTCGCTCATCTGAACAATGTTAGAAAGATTTGGTTTTATCAACTGAGATTTCTGAGTTGATGAGGTAGTTTGGCCACCGTAGATATAGGAGACAGATAAGCTGGCGGTTCGAGCCCCTAGCCCTTGCGGCGTCAGAGTGAGTCAGTGGGTGGGTTCGGAATTTTGTAAGCAGTCGGGAGTTTAATTACGATAAAGGTGAAGGCCCCTACGGTTTAACAAGTTAAATCAACAATGAAGTACATTTCAGCAACGTTAGGCCAGGCGAGCTACAAATCGTCCTTAAATTTAAAGTCGGCCTCAAATATAGGGGAGTATAGAAATATTAGGGCGTTTATGACCGCAGCTACGTTTTGAGGTATATGTACTCCGTGTGACCAGGGCGGATAAAGGTTGGGCGGTGAAACGAGCGCCCGAACAAAATGGTGTGATGCACTAGACTGGGACTCTGCTTAGAAATGTCGCTTGTTTTCGACTTCGGTCAGGGCCTGCGATGTGGTTTGACCAGTAGACACTGCCGCTGTCACTGAATTATGGCGGCCTGATTTGTTTTCTTGCACTTCTTCCTCCTTCCTTTGTGCTAGTACGCTGTCTCCGATAGGCAAATGTTGCTATTTTTTGCGGGAGGTGTAGTGGGAGTAGACAAACATCTGTTTCATCTCTTACTTCCATGACTCTACCACTGAATTATATTTTCCTTCTACTACTCGCCAATGTCGATGTTATTCTAAAACCAAAACAACTAAGTACTGCTTAAAACACGAGGGAAAATCTCATCCATGTCATCCATGGCAAAACTAAAAGACAGCAGATCGTGTTTCATAACTAGATGACGTGTATTTTATAAATGCGTGCAGCTCATGCAAGGTGAAATTATGCTAATTTCAATCACCATCGTCCTTCTTTTTAATTTTGAAAAAAACATCCCATACGTCTTTCTGTTTCTTCGCAACTTCAAAATTAGTTTCCCCTCAGTTTTTACTGTTTACCTTGTTTTGTTTTAGAGAGAAAAAAAGGTGAAAAAACCTTACAACTACCCTCAATAAATTTTGTTTACATGCGGTTGCCGGATTTGCGAATCTTGCGCGAATCGCCATGGCGCGTTACACCCGAGAAGCAAAGTTTGAAGCAGTACAATGCCATTATATCGAAATATATCAATCTAATTTTTTGTTATGTTATATAAAATTTATCCCCCTATAACATATGTAAAAATTGAGGTTAAGAAGTGTTAAGCTTTTGCAAACGAAACGGCGAAAGTTCCTGAGCATTATTTTTGAAGTTGCAAGCAGCAGGGATCAACTTTGAAAAACTGTTAGGCTGAACAGTTTTCAAAAACCCTAATTTCAATCCGTTTCAATGCTCTTCCGTTTTGCCCATCCGTGGCATCTGTTGTGTCTGTTATGTTATTTTAACCTTTCTTTAAACTTTTAAGCGGTTATTTTTATGTTTCTCTTAATTTAGCTTGCATTTTGTAATTTCCTAATTTGGCTGAATTTCGTGACACAGCTCCTTTAAGATGTAACATTTTAAAATGAAAGATCCAGGATAAAGTATAGCTGAAATCTATTCTCCGTGTACGTCATGCAAGGTCCTAGGACCTTCTGAGATTAAGAGTACTGATTTATGTTCCTTACCTTCTTGCCATTGTGTAGTTTCAGTGTACGTGGAAAGTAGTCATGTTTTTTTCGCAGAAACACCGGCATAACTACCTTACCGAGTTTGTGGAAAAGTGACGATTGCGCAAGCATTGTCTTCGTAATCTGTAATGTTCCGAAACGGAGATATAGGAAAAAACACAACACAGAAAATAAACAAGTGAAAGGAAGAAAGTTTAAATACACCACAGCAGATGCGATACCCTTTAGGCGCAGATCTATAGGATAAATACTGGCCGATTTCCTAAACGAGCGTCAAAGGGACCGGGGGCTTGCTTGCTTCCCCGGGAAATTTTTTTTGGATTTAAATTTCCTGGGTTTACTGAGACATTCAGACAGGATGTTGGACAGTTCCACTCTGGCCTCGGATGAAGCCTTACAAATCCGCGATTATTATTATTATTTCTTATGCCCGGAAATTGGAAAACATATTATCCAACCATTTTCCAGAAAAAAAAATATTGAAAATCTGACCGATTTCCGTAAAATCGTGGAAACCGGAGTGGATCCGCGCCTGCCGTTTTTGGAGGTTTGAGTTTCTCACAACAGCGCGCGTTCCCATCTCCCGTATCCAGAGTCTCAACAATTCTATTCCTCCCTTTACAGACTAGAAGTTTAGTTATGCAAATCGTGCACCCTATTTTGTTTTCCTGCAATAATTATTAAAGTGTAAATATCCGTATTGTTATTCTTTGGTAGAAATGAAGATTAAAATACGTGCTAAATACAACGCTGTTTCCCAAGATCATCGTATAAACTTCGCTTAGCTGTCGAAGTATCCCGTTGAAGATTCTCGGCCAACAAGACGTAACAAGGATGTTCAGGCAGGGTCGCTACAGCTGTCGCTCGAGAGACCTTGTGTTAGAGCTTGAAAACTGGTTACGAAACGACCAGTTTCTTCATCTGATCTAGTGTGCTAACAGCGCTCATAAGCAGCTGGTGAAAAACCCAATATTTTTTATTTTTTAACAGGCTCAAGTTTGACTTGTCAACCCAAAGGAAGTTCACCAGAAAATAAGACTTGTGTACAAGTGATGAATTTTCAAAATCTCACCTTCGAAAACGGAGAACGCTTGCGGAATGGAGTATCGTCGACGAAGGACTTAATCAGTAAAAGAAAGTTCGTTTAGGGCTCGTCAAGCCCCCCCGAAATACCGTCTGTAAGGATGTTACCGTACGTATCGATAGCCTCCGGCCTGAGCCGTTCTTTCCCTCGTCACGTAACGCTACGCCTGAGCCGTTCTTTGTCTCGTCAAGTAACGCTACTCTCTGCGTGACACGCAAGACAAGGAAGACTTCGTCAAAAAACAACTCTGTTCTGTAGGCTACATATATAAAAGAGGCCCAAAAGAGCGAGGGTAACTCTAGCGTACGTCCTGCAGACTCGTCTACATGGGACAACTTTGCTCCGGACTAGTAGTCAATTGAAAATTTGAAAGGAGCTTTATTAGCGATTTCGCTCATCTGAACAATGTTAGAAAGATTTGGTTTTATNACTACTACCCACAAAAGGTTTGTAATTTTCACATGTAGGTATTTCAAATTAAGCTGAAATACCACTGCTTTAAGCCAATCAAATTGCTGAAACTTCTCATGTAGTAGTATAAAAGGTATAACATTTTGAAATGAAAGATCCAAAAAAAGTGTAGCTGAAATCTATTCTCAACGTCTTGCAAGTTCAGGAGTTTCTGAGATTAAGAGTACTGATTTATGTTCCTCACCTTCTTGCCATTGTATAGTTTCAGCGTACGTGGAAAGTAGTCATGTTTTTTTCGCAGAAACACCGGCATAACTACCTTGCCGAGCTTGCGGAAAAGTGACGATTGCGCAAGCATTGTCCTCGTAATCTGCAATGTTCCGAAAAGGAGATATAGAAAAGAAAACACTACTGAGAAAAGAACACAGAAAATAAACAAGTGAAAGAAGGAAAGTTTAAATACGCCACAGGAGATACGATACCCTTTAGGCGCAGATCTATAGGAT